GTGATCCACTTAGGTCTCTACATATGGAACCCAGCCCTCTACTGGTTCTCACGGATTCATTGAGTGAGGGCCTGGCACCGGAGGTTCTGCCACGTCTGGCTGCCGAGGGGATGGAGGAGCTTGACAGGGCACACCCTGTGCTTGATAAGCCAGGGTGATGGCATCCACAATCCAGTGGGCCATCCTCTGCTTAGAGACGGCCTTCCCCTTCTGCCGGCCTCCGTAACAGACAAAGAGCTTGTCTGAGGTCCTAAAGCTTTGTGTCTGGTCTACGTAGCATCTTAAGGCTCGGACAGGACAAAGCAAAGCTAGGGCTGGGTCTGCCTCCTCCGGGGGCAGCGCTTGCAGGTTCACTACCTGATCCCTGAAGGGGGTAGTAGGAACCTTGGGCACATAGCGGGGCCGGGGCCTTAGGATTACCTGGGAGTCAGCCGGCCCAAACTCTAGGCATGAATCGTCGACCGGAAATGCGTGCAGGTCCCCTACCCTCTAGATGGAGGCCAGTGCAAGCAGTAGCAGAGTTTTCATTAAAATAAACTTTAGCTCGACTAACTGCAATGGCTCAAATGGGCCCTGCTGTAGTGCTTTGTGCACTAGAAACAGGTCCCAAGAGGGTATAGTGGGGGGCCGGGGAGGATTTAACCTTCTCGGCCCCCTAAGGAACCTGATGACCAGGTCATGCTTCCCTACCGACTTCCCTTCCACGGGCTCATGGTTAGCAGCAATCACAGTGACATAGACTTTAAGGGTGGATGGAGACAGCCTTCGCTCCAACCCTTGCTGCAAAAAGTAAAGCACAACCCTGATCGGGCATCTCTGGGTGTCTTCTCGGTGAGAACACCACCACTCGAAGAACAGGTTCCACTTCAAGGTGTAAGCGTGTCTCGTGGACAGTGTTCTCGCCGAAGTGATGGTGTCAACTACATGCTGGAGTAGGTCCAGAGACAAGACATGAAGTTTCCAGAGGTCTGGACGCAGGGGCCACAGGGTGCCCCATCTCTGAGTCAGTAGATCCTTTCTCAGAGGAAGCTGCCAGGGAGGGGCTGTCACAAGGAGCATTAGTTCCGGGAACCAGGTCCGAGTGGGCCAATACAGCACCATAAGCAGGACCTGCTCTTTGTCCTCCCTGACCTTGCACAGCGCCTGTGCGAGAAGGCTTATTGGGGGAAACACATACATGCGCAGGCCCCACGGCCAGTGCGTCCGTGCCGAGTGTTCCCTTGGTCAGGGAGTAGAACAACTGGCAGTAAGAGGTTTCTGGAGAGGCAAACAGGTCTACCTGAGTGGCTCCGAAATGTCTCCATTCTCCTGGGAGCGTAGCTCGTGACAGCTTGTCGGCCGTACGGTTGAGCAGACCCAGAATGTGAATGGCACGAAGTGACCTCAGAACCTTCTGACTCCAAAGGAGGAGGTGGCGGGCGAGTTGCTACATGCGACGGGAGTGCAGACCACCTTGTCGGTTGATGTACGCAATGGTCGCCGTATTGTCCTTTCGGACCAGCGCATGCTTGCCTCGTAAGCACCCTTTGAGATGGTTCAAGGCAAGGCGAACTGCTAACAGTGGTGGAGGCATCCGTGTAAACCACAGCATGCCTGGAGACCTGTTCTAGGGGCACTCCTGCCCAGAGAAACGCAAGGTCTGACCACGGGGTGAACGTTTGGCGACAGGCCGGTGTAACTTGGACCCGGTGAGTGCCGTGCTGCCACGCCCCTGTGCTCGCACAACTGATCCCGAGACTGTGCTAGTATAAGCCAAACTTCGAGATAGTTGAGGATGCGAACACCCTACTCTCTGAGGGGAACAAGAGCCTCCTCCGCAGCTTTTGTGAAGACACAGGGAGATAGGGACAGCCCGAAGGGCAGGACCTTGTACTGATAGAAGGGCCCGGTTCAAGATGCGCAGATCCAAGATTGGTCATAACCCACCACCTTTCTTGGGTACAGTAAAACCCCGTCTTCATATCGGCTGGAGGGATCAGCTCTATCGCATCCTTTGCTGCTGTGAAGCAGATGCCACTGAACTTGGGGGGACGCCGGGTGAGCTGAATCGCATAGCCGAGGCTGATGGTCTGAAGAAGCCAGTGAGACGGGCTGGGTAGCGCTAGCCAGGCACCCAGATACCGTGGAAGCGGGACCAGCGGAACCACCACTGTACCCGCAGTGGGGCAGCGAGGTGGAACGCAGGGACCCAACTCGGGCGGCTTGTGAGCGGACCGAAGAGGGGTCTGAGTGTGCGGTGCAACG